CAACGGTTGATTTTTACCCCACAAGCCCCTCCCTTGTGCATGACCAGACTTACTGCACCCACATGGTGATGCTAGTAAGAGCAAAGACACATTAGCAGTCTGGGGCTTGAGAACACACTGAGTGGGAAAAAAGACAAATAGGAGCTGACACATCTGCTGCCAGAGTGATTCCAGCAGCCAACTCCTTGCTGGCTCTTCCTCTTTGCTGCTCTTTAGACCCACAAGCCCCTCCCTTGTGCATGACCAGACTTACTGCACCCACATGGTGATGCTAGTAAGAGCAAAGACACATTAGCAGTCTGGGGCTTGAGAACACACTGAGTGGGAAAAAAGACAAATAGGAGCTGACACATCTGCTGCCAGAGTGATTCCAGCAGCCAACTCCTTGCTGGCTCTTCCTCTTTGCTGCTCTTTAGACCTGAGCAGGGAGCAGGCTGCAGCCTGGGTGAGTCTGAAAAAACAGGAATCTCACAGCACGCATCCCCTCCAAGCTCCAGCGAGACCCCTTCCACTGCTTTGTAATTGGGCTTGTGAAACTTCCAGGGTAACAGGAGGCTTGCAGGGCCAAAATGTGGCTGGAAGCAGACTATCACTGCTAGAAACAGGAACTGGGAGCACACAGATTGTCCTGACCAGATACATGAGGTGATTGCCTTTTATATGAGCTAGATTTAAACTGTCTTTCTCAGTGGGAATCAGACAAATGACTTACATTAAAGCCAAAGAGATTCAGGTCAGATGTTGCAGATATGTTCCCTTTATTTAAAGGGAACATGGAAATAAATGGTATGTGAAGGGTTTTGTGGTTGGTTGGTTGGGTTTTTTTTGTGGGGTGGTTTTTTTTTTTTTAATTTTTCATTTTTATTTGAATACAAAATAGAAAAAGATCACTGACAGGAAGATCTAGATTTAAAGAATCTTTGAAACCTAATCCCTCCTGATTACAGGGTTAAAGTGTCTGCTGCTATGCAGTAGATAGATGGTTTTGAAGCATATTTTGATTAAAGGGAATCACTCACGTTTCTTGGTAACAGCAAGAACCATCTTGATTGTTTGCTCTGTGGGTAAATCCTCAGCAAGAGATCTCTCACCAAACAGAACACTTAAACCACACAAACAACAGGAGAGCAAGTAACATTCGAACTCCAGAGAGATACCGTTCTTCTAGATTCTCTGGGAAGGCCTTTGCGTTTGGTAGATTTAATGCTTTTGTTTATCCTATGAGATAGTGAGCAATTTCATTGCAACTCCAAATGCTACAAAGGGAGGTAATTTAGTCTCCCAGGGAGTTTGTTCTGACCTTCCTTTCTACTGCACTCTTTTATGGTCTGAAACAAAGGAATCAGGACCACTGCTTAAAGCCCCAGATATACACACTGTGTCCTACATTTTTGCCAGATACCAGGCAGGCAGTGGGGTTTTGCAACATGGGGGTGTCAGAGAAGAAGTCTCAAGTGCAACCCCCTTTTGACATTAGCTGAGACCTACATCACCTTTAAAGCCTTTTCCAGAACAGGTCAAGGACAAACATGTACAGTAACTAAAAAATCCCTTGAAATATATAAAATACACAAATATAATCATATTAGATTTATTAATTAATATACACCAGATTTCATATTAAGATTTTCTCTGATATTTTTAACTAGATAGTCTTAGCAACTGGATTAATCAGCTGCAACTGGCCACAAGAGAATAGTGTGGGTTTTTTTAAAGAATTATTTTAAAAGGAATGTGGAAGGACTGATGGGCTTACCAGAAACAAAGCTACAGCACTGCCCAAGATGAAGCCTGCGATCACGTCCGAACAGTGGTTTCGATATTCAGAAACTCGATTTAGCCCAGTGAGGAATGCAGCACAGAGGGTACCCAGACACAGCACAGGTTTGGCTAACCTGCTACTCTTTGTTTTAATTGTGCTTGTGATGTACATCTGCAAAAAAAGAACAAGCCAAAAATGAAAGCGGCTCTGCCAGAAATTTATCTTTTTCCACCAAGACAAATTCTAAATCAGCAAAGATGTGCCAAACCCCATGATTCAGTTAAAAAAGCATTGGGAAATGGTGGAAGAGATTTAAGGTAATTCAGACAACACTTCTAAGAGAATAAAACAGATACTGTTAAATGATATTTCATGATGTCAAATATCCCATCAATTTGATTTACATACTGGACTTTTGAGCTGGTATGTACAGGCTTAGTTTACTGACTTCCTAACTTGTGTAAGTACTTGCTCATATGTTAGCAAACATGCACCCTGAATGTACATGACTAAGTGTGTGCAAAGGGAGCCAAGAATTTATGTTTACGCTCTTACTAAAACTGTAATGTGCACATGATGGAGTGCCTTGCATCCACGTGAACTAGCTGCTCCAGTTTCCTAAGTGGTGTTAAGTTTAAGAAATAGAGAACATTAAAAGAAACCATTCCCAACATTTTCTCTGCAAGATGAAATGAAACATAGAATATGAGAGTGATTTCTTTCAGAACGAAGTTGATTCTGAATCTCAGAGTATGAAGTTTCACTGTACTCTAAGTAATTTTTAATGAACCCCACGTTTGTGGCAGTTTGTATTTTATTTTAAATGCATTTTGACAGAGTGAATGAAACCACGTGGGTCACAATTAGCAGCTGGTCATTAATTCCAGAGCCACAAAACAGCAAAGATCAGGCAAACAAAATCCGATGACAAAACAATTCAATAAAATCCTCCTCAACAAGGAAGCATGGATGCCTGCATGATTCCCAAAGCTTTGATAAGCAAAGACAATATGTCAAACACGGTTGCCAGAAATACACTGCTGCCCATACATGACACAGAATCAGAAGGATACATTGGAAATATTAATTTGATTTTTGTTACTAATCAGGTGGTAAATGAACCTGAGTCACATAGCATAGGTCTGGTCCAGTGGAAGTACGAACATCTGTTCTGCTGGGGAGTGGAAAAATTACAGACCATGGAAGCGTCTCATCCAGTGGTTAATGTTAAAAGATAGCATTTTATTTGTAAGGGAAAAAAATGTTCTTTTGTTCTTAGAATATGTTCTCAAAGTTGAAAACATTTCTTTGATCCTTTTTCAGATGTTAAAAATTGAAATATGGTTCCCTTAGTATTCTGGACAAAAGACTCTATAGAAGATCCTTATTATTTTAATCATATTTGCAGTACCACCACGACCGGAAAGTCTGATTGTGCTGTCTGCATGTCACAAACCTCATCTTTCTCTTGGATGATTTCATTTCTGGGGAAGGGCACTGTTGAGCACTTTGCCACAGGTGGCTCTGAAATCAGAGTGTGACTCTGAGGGACTGTGGAGACTCCAGAGCTGTTCTCCTTTCTTGCTGCTGCAGTGGCTATGGACACAGTGCTGGCTGAAAACACCAGTCTCTGGCCAAGACTACAATGGCTTGGCTGGGATAAAGTGCCTTGGGATTTTCCTGTGCCTGTGCTGAAGGAAGTCTGCACAGGCTTGACTTGCTTCTTCCAATTGCAACTACCAGCACAGCTTCCTTTGTGCTCCACTTTGCAGCCATGGGTAATTATCTGACTGTATTTTAATGCCCATCCCTTTCTTCTGCATCCCAGGTATAGAGAGGTCACTGTGGTCTGCACATAGTTTTGGGATAGAGAAACAGAAATTACATCCATTCTCAAGGTCACTCTGTTAATTGCCTTTACTATATTCCTTTATTGTGCTGTATTATGCGTAATAAACAATAATGTATTATTTCTCCCTATCCATATTTCTTTTCCCTTCCCCTGACCAAGCCATCAAATATCCCTACAGCTGGTTTCCCCTCACTGGCTGGTGTTGAAAATGTCAACCCTAAACCCATTACCACACAACTCTAGAAGGGAGGGAATGCAGCAACCACCTCTTGGAAGGAAAAGGGACAGGCCAGAGAAACTGACCGGGGAAGGTATATCTGACTGCCTCTAGACATGTATGTAGGCAAAATCATACTTTCATCTGCCGAGAAACTGCAGTGCTAGTCTTCTAACAGCTGAATTTGCCAGATCTCTGCCTGGGGAAGTGAAGTTAGCTGCTGCCGCCGAGCACGTCATTTAAAGGCGAGTTCAATTTATGAACTGGAACATTCTGGTGTGTAACAGCACTGGGAATGCGACTAAGCTAACTGAGAGGTTCCTGCTTGCTCTGTTTTTCAAACCCAATACCTGACTGCACCAGAGGCCTTGAAATGACAGCTAGCAACAGCACTAGGTGGCAATCTTGCCTGGGTCTTTGCTAGTAGGTTGAGCTGTGCTTCACTATCGCCAAAACTCATGTTAAGGTTCTTTGGAAACAATGGGAAAAAATAGCATTGCTGCTGTCTGAATAATTACCACCCACCCTCTCACCCTATGCTTTTCTTTTAGCAGAAACCAGTTCAATATGGAGTTGAATTGCTTTCCTGCTCCCTACCAAAGCACTACTGTGGTTTACAGCATCCAAAGGAAAAGCATCACCTCTTTAAAGTAAGAATGCAGTCCTGCTGTGACAGCTGAAAACTCTGGCTACAGAGAATAGGCCACACATGCTTGTTTTCTTACAGGTATGAGATGAAGCTGGATCTCTGGGTTATCCACATGGGAGAGTTCTCCTTATTACAGGTGGGAAGTAGCTAATGTATTTGAAGCTTCATCTATCTCGTCAGGAAAATGTAAACTTGTAGTAAAGAGAACATTTTTAGCAACGAGAGTAATTAACCATGTGAACAGATTGCCAAGGGAAATCTGTTAAACCCTCATGGGGACGGTTTAAAACAAGACAAACTGCTTTCCCAAAATATGCTCCAATTAATCCATAAATCTCACACTGAAGTAACTGGGAGAGCTTCTCCATTCTGGTCAGGCTTCCTTATCACTGTGGTTTATCTTTATTGTTGTGGTCCCTAAAGACAAGGACTTTTTAAAGATTCCCACAGTGTTTTTACCCTTTCACTTACAGCATGTTTTCAAAGCTTTTGTGTAAGAGCCTAAAATCTCAGTGAAAGTCACTTACATTTGATTTCCTACACACAGCAGGTGTTTTTGAAAATTTTCCACAATGCTATTCATAGGGTAAATTTACAGAACTCTAAATGTCAAACCAGTTATTTGATGGATGGGAAAAGAAAGAAGAAGTGAATATAAAAATATGTGAAGAAAATACAACATCATATTAAAAAATAAACTATATTTTTTTAACTACATAAACCATCTATTCAGCTTCTTTTCTGTGCTCTGATCAGTACACTCAAGCAGTGTATTTAGCAAAATGCAATGTGTGATAGCAGCATTCATCCTGTGCATAATTCCTCTTCCCTTTTTTTAAGGCAGACAAAAGCACAGGCAGCCAAGCACAGGCTTTTTTGTTTGCAAGTTTAAAATAGACATACATACATATACATATTTAGCTATATACAAACATATGCATATATTTAGAATGTATGTTACACCTATGATGAGAAAGGCAAGAGTGGAAGAAATCCATATTGTCCTTGCAGCAGGAAGTGGGGAGATATGTGATAGTTTATTTTCCTTGGAAAGTTCACAATTTCATACCAATACTGAAAAATTCTGTGTCCTACAGACTTTAATCTTTGGCTTTACCACAGAGATTTCTACAGTAAGAGAGAAGCAGAACCTTTGACAACGAAGTGTATTGTAGAACATGATGCAGTCTCCAGCTCAGTGTGGCTGCTTGAAGTGCCAAGGCCTTGAATTTCATTGATTAGTCTGGTAGGTGTTAACATAAAAATGGAAGAAATTGTTGATGGGATCACAGTCACCTAGGCTGCAGAAGGTATTTGCTGCAGTGTTCTCTGCTATTCAGAATTTCCCAGATATTCAAAGTTTCATGCCTAGGTATATATCACTCTAATCTAGTCAAGAAGCAATGCTCTTAAGTGTAAAAGACAGATGCCAGGTCATGGTCCAGTGTGATGAGACAGAGTCTTCTACCAGCTGAATGTGACAGAAAACATTACTTGTGGATGCTGCTAGGCAGGGGGTTAGCTGAAGAATCCTAAAAACTACTAAACAGTCAGTAAGTGATTGGTTCTATCTTTCAACCCTAGACATCCTTTTGTGATTGTAAAACAGTTCTCCTTGCTTTCACTCCAAAGGGAAATGGGAGGATCAGCAAAGATACTTACCTTCCCTCTACAATAAGAGATCCTCCAGTTCTGTGGGTGAAATACTTTAATTTTGGGTGAACACTGCCATCTGTTAGATGTCCTTGTTATTGACTCTTCCATGACCTTTCTCAGAAGAGCATGAAGTAACAGTTGGCTTAAGATGGTGTGACTGCGACACTCACAACACTCATATGGAATATATGATTTTATTGTCTGGTTTTTGTTTTGTTGTTGGGTTTGTTTTGGTTTGTTTGCTTCTTGTTTTACTTGTGGTGAGGTTTGTTTGTTTGTTCTTTCCAGAAGTGTTAATGAATTAAGGAGTATTTCTAGCCTATAATTTTTTCTTGAGAAAGGTTCTTAGAAGTATGTGTTTCTAACTGTACAGCAGCAGCTATTATATGCAGTGATTGCCATCTCTTCCTGTGATTCTTCTAGGAGACTAAGAATACTCCATTAGATGCCATTCTAATTTTTGTGTAAGTATGGAACCCAGAGCTTGCCGCCTCTTTTTTCTTTCCTGTACTTCAGGCAAAGAAGATTTATCTCTGCCCGCAGAGATCACAAAAGGGATGCTTCAGTTTCTCCTCAGCTTCTTCGGCACGTGACAAGAAAAAGCCTATTTAATATAAAACCCAGATTATAGAAAAAAACCCCAAACCAGAACACAAAGCCAAAACAATCACAGTGGGAGTACTGTCAGTAGCAGACTAATGAACAAATCAGTACAGAGACATCTGCAGAGGATACTCGAGCTTCAGTGATGGGAGGAGACTCCTAGGTCTCAACAGATATTTATACAATGAAAGACAATGTCTGTGCTGATTTCATTCTCCTGTCTCCTCATGTCCAACTTGTTCTATTTTTCTTGCTCCATGGCTCATATCTCCAGCTTTATGCAAAACACAGCTATTACTAACCAAACGCTTTTGTTCAGCAGCCCACATTATCACATATATTAGAATCAGCAAAACACGTGCAAAAAATTGTGCACAGCACAATTATTAAGCAAAGCTAGATCAGAACATTGCGTTTCTTGTGTAGTGCTCATGTTACTCCCAACTGACAGGCAAAGAAAAGACAAGCGACAACACCTTTAGAGCTAGAGGGGTGTTTCAAGCAGAGAACTGGCCTAAAATTGGATTGCAAGCTGAAATGCCTTAAGGACAGAGTTTTATGACATTAGAGCTCAGAAGTAACTCCATGTCCTGGCTCCATTGGTATCTTCCTATGTGGGGAGGAGGGAAGGATGGTCTTGAAACACTAGGGCTCAGAAACACTGGGGATTTCCTGTTTGTGGAAGACCTGCCTTCCTAGGAAACATGGGAGGTTGGACAGGAAAGTCCATGAAAGGATGTAACTAGCTTAGGGCAGAACCAGGGCCAAGCCTGATCCTGCAGCTTCCATCTAAGAGTTTTAATGGTGAAAACAGCTTCTACAACAATGTTGAGTTTATTGGGAACTGTATTTCACATGTGGTTGCTTATTGTTCGGAAGTAATGTGTGCAAAATGTTACAGGCTTTCCAAACACTTCCCAACCAATCCTGATCAAAGGAGTTCCTAATTTATATCTCTGACAGTATTCACACAATACTCGGTGCAAACAGATGGATATTGAAACAGCAGTGGGTGGCCTCTTGATTTTATAGTAATAATGTGGTGTTTTATTCATCTGCTATGAAGATCAGGGTAAAATATTCAGCAAATACCTTGCCATTAATAAGCCTAAGGATTTTTTCAAATCCTGATGACCAACAGACAGACTCTGCCACTCATTTGAGTCAATCTGCTGGTGGAAAAAGGCCTAGATACACCATTTTGAAATCAGAACCAGATTAAGTCCTTGGATTTTAATGCCAAAACCACCAAGGTTTTCTACTTTATGAGTAAGCTTTTTGGATCAATTTTCAGACATCACAGAAACTTCAGCCAGAGAACACAAAGAAGTGGCGGATTTCTTTCTCAGTACTCTTAAAGACAGACAATTTCCTTCCTGACAGTATAGCAGCATCACCTTGTCAAGATGTCAACTGGGGGACATTTATTTGTGATAACAGCAAAATTATGGCACTGACTTTTATTACAACCTTCTGTACACGGGGAGTTCAGGTCCTAAACAAGAGGAGCAAAATCCAGCCTAGTTCAGCCTCCCATTGAAATGGCACAGTTCACAATTTTAATGTTCAACAACCTATGTCATGTGAATAAAAGAAATACTAGTGATTCAGGGGCCATTTAAGCATCAACTTCATCTTAATGTTCATGAGACAGGGCTGGGAGAAGAGGCTGAATGCATACTCAAGACCTCTGAGAAGATCAGCAGTAAAGACAAGATTAGGACCTCATGCCTCCACATCATACAATGCCTCAAAAGCAACAAGCATTTGATTTGCTCATACTAGGGTTGCTAAAACAGACAGAGAGAGATTTTCCCCTACAGATAAGGACGTAAGCCCTTCCCAAAACAACCCTCTTTTCCTTCAAAAACCCATTGTAAGAAAAATGGCTCCACATACATGCACCTACAGAGACCCCTCACACAAGTTAGAAACCATCACTGGCACTCACCGTGGCATATAAAGCTGAGTAGATGCTCAAAGCAGCATGTTTGGATGGAAAGGATCTCCTTGCCTTTTCAATCACCCCCACATCCCCAGTGCAGATGTTGCCGTTGTTTATGAACTGGTGGTGGGCTCGACAGTCATTTCCAGTGTAGTTGGGTTTACATACAGTCAGGAAGTAGGGAGCCAAGTTCCCAGTCACAACCTGACCAGCATTTACAAATATGTCAGTGGCAAAAAGTCCAAATGCAAACACTCCTGTGAGAAAAGGTTTAAAATCATGATTATTCAAACAGGTTTAAAAAAATATATAAATCTTGGTACCTGAAAGGAAGAGACATAATGAGAGGTAAGCAACCAAACCCTGGTTCTGCAATCATTACCCAGAAGAAGCCCCTGCTGACTCTAGCAGAGTCCTGCATCAAAGGCATGATGCAGAAGACCGCATGCTTAACTCTGACAGGTGATTAACTCAGTGACTCCAGAAGGACTCAGAAACAGGCTGAAAATGATAAGCAAGTACATAAGTGTTTTTGTGATTCAAGCTCTGAACAGGAAAGGCTGCACCTATAGTATGTCTGTAGAGCTTCCCCTATGACAGAGACTCACAGTCCAAAGTCAGGTGTCATGCACATGAGTTGTTAAAAATGTTTTTGTATTTTTGCCACATCTGGGCCAAAAAAAGGGAATATAATGTCTCTGAACCTGAAAGAGCAGTGTAGTCCTGAGGCACTACACTGCACTTATCTTGATTATCTAATGTTATGTATTGTCTGGTTTTGGCTATTCACCGTCCTCATGTTGAAAAATTAAGACCCTGATCTAGTAATATTTGGAAGGTCCCTTTCGAAACATCCTAATACTTTTCTCTGGAAGACATTTCCACACAGTTGCTGTTCAGCTCATGTCACTGGGAGCGCACACCCACAAATGCTCCAGCAGAAAGCATTCTCTTGAAAGCAGGAACATTTCCGGGGTTGTGGAGCACCCCTTGTTCAATACTGCAGTTGTCACATCCTCCACTGACTTCTGTTAGTGTTACCAATACCTACTATAGCTGTTGTAAACATATATGAGGATCTTACACTTGCATGTACTGCCCACATAGCAAAGGAACAGAACAGCAGGTTTGCAGAAATGCCAAACCCAAACATTCTGAATGACTAAATCAGCTCCTCTGTCTGCCTTCCTATCACTAAGGTGGATTAAAATATCACAAAAAATGAAAACAAATAAATATTTACTTATAGTGTGGGAATGTTGAGGGTCATGTATTTTTGCTTTCCACCTCCTGTATCTCTGTAAGCAAAAGTAATTTAAATTATAAATTAGCTGAGATGGCTGTGTTTAAATATAACCAAGAGCTGGAGCTCCAGGGAAAACACAGGAGAGCTGTGATACAAGAGCTGGCACCACCATGGTTATAACAACTTCACTGGTACTAAAAAAAAAGAAGAAAAAACACTGCTATAGTCTGAGAAACAAAAACTATCAGGGAGCAATCAAAATAATGCAGCAGAAAATGCCTTACAACAAATTAACAAGAATCAAGGATTGTTCTGCAGATATTGTCACTGCTTTAGAAAATGGAAGGGCTACAGCTGACAGGTCCTTCAAAATGCTCAGGGGCTAACTACACACAGGACACTTGTACAGACAGTAACATAAAATAGAACCCATAATTAAAAATGAATTAATTGTATGAGTGTCAAGAGGAGATTGCCAGTGCCACTTGCTCACAGAGATGGTGCTGTGCTGTAACACAAATTCTTCTCTGGTGGGGCAGTGATGAGAAGAGCCCTCTCCTTGAGTAGCAGCCTGAAGCGGCTGTGTTAACCGGAAGGAGTGTTAGCACAGTGAAGACAATTTTGGGGACTGAATTTATTACTGTTCTTTATATGAGTTTATTATTATTCATTATTAATGAACTGATGTGTTCATGGATTCAAAAAGCCACTGGTGGTGAAAGAAGGAGGTAGCCTTCCCCTTGTTCTAGCCTGCAGGACTGCCTCTTGTCTTTTTACTGGCTTAAGTATCTTTCTTCCATTTATCCTGCTAAGTGGCTGTATTTAAAAGGGAAATAAAGAAAGCACTGACACTACTCCTTTATTTCCTTTATCCCTCTGCTAATATTTTAAATCCATGGTTTTCCGCAGCTGGCAAGAACTTCTCATCTACATTAGCAAGTGCACAAGCAAGTTCAAAGGAAAAAGGCAGTAGGTATTTTCTCAGCCTGCTGAAACAGCAAGTTATGCCAGAGATTAATCTTGTTTTATGTGTGGCTCTTTGGACAAATTTTTCTTTTTTTTGTCACAGCTTGGTTTAAATGGCGTCTTTTTCATGCACTGTGCAAATCACATGGAATACGGAGGGTATATTACCCAGCCCTTTACAATACTTAGAAGAAATCTAAAAGCCAGGCAGTCTGGCCCACAGTCTTTATTGCATAAGTAAGTACAAGCCAGGAACTGAGGTGTTTCAGAAAAAGCTCACAGGCTTCACTTCTAGGCAGTGCACAAGTACAAAGGTGGTCCACTGTTTTTCTCAAAAAAACCCCAGGAGTTTCAACATTTTAATTTTCTTAATATTGGGTAGCACTGAAAGTGCTGGCCCAGACTCAACTGCTGAGGGTTGCAGTACTCTGCAGAACAGCAGAGCAAGCCATGGTTGAAACCTTTATCATGCTCTGATTGCGATGCATATTGATCACTATAATTCCTCTCTCGCAGTTCTGCCAAACTGCGCCTTACAAAAATCATAGCTATGTGCAGCAGTGAATTCAGCTAGGAGGAATTTAACCCTTACAGATTGATTACACATCATGTAGTCTCTGGAGACTGAGATACGGCTGGCTGTAATTGATTTAAAGGCTGTAACACCAGTGAGCCTGGGTAGTGGTGGAGAGTCCCCTGACGGTTTTTGTATCTCACGAATCCAACTGTTCAATGGATTTATTTAATGACCTAGAGAAGCTAGGCTACTGACCAGAGCACAAGAATGCAGTGATGTGGTTGCCAAGTTTTAAGAGGCAGACAAATTGCTGCTGAAAGGCTTCACAGGAAAGGCAACTACCCCTAGCTCTTCAGGGTCATATAGCTGAAGTGTGTGATATAATGCCACAGAAAGAGAATGGGAGAACATGTACCTCTTCCAGACTTTAATGCTCAGGTGTAACGGGAGGTGATGTCATCCTGCTAAGGAGAAAGTGCTTTATCATACTGTGCTTATTCTGACCCAGAAAACCTGGAAGAGATCTTTAGTCCAGAACTTAGCATATGCTGAAATAAGATGTAAGCATTGCAAGCCACATGAGAAGACCCACAGCCTATACAGTTGGTTACTAGTAAAAAGTATGGACAGAGGTTAATTTCATTTACATAGAGACAGTCCTTTCCCTCATCCACACATGTCACACACACATTTCGCTGCACAAAGAGGCCTTAAAGAAGGAGCGGAAACTACTTCTGGAAAGGATTCCTGACTTTTTGTCACTATCCTGCCTCTCAGCTGTGTTAGTGTGTGTCAAAAGCAGTCAGAAGCAGCCAGAAGAGGCTAGAAGGCAAACTGGTAAGTAGAATGTAACTGAGAGAGAGACTAATTTAGAGGAGAGGTAAAGGGTAGTCTGTACTCCCTGCTACTCTCTTTAGCTGCCCAAGAGTCCCAGAAGAAGGAACTGAGGATCAGATTTTAATACAACTTTACCTCCAGCCAGAAAGACCTTAAACAAACCAAAAAAGAACAAACAAGGAAAGTCCTGTTCAAAAATGCTGAGGACAGACAACATGAGTCTTTCCATTTCCATTTCAGCTGAACTAAGAATTGCCTTGGCAGAAGAATCTAAATTTTCGGCAGCTTCAATTTTGAATGGTTCAGTTTTAATTTCTTTACTTACATCTCCCCCTAAATTGTTGCCAGAAAGTCCTCCAAGCATGAACCCGTAACTTCTGGGGTCTCACCGCCCCCCCCCAAAGTCTTTCCTTACTGAGCTCCCTGTGTGGCTGTTGATCACTGTTGCCACCTCCAAATATGTCTATTGCTTTTTCTAATACAGACATCTGCCCTGAAGAAGAATCCGTCTCTCCTCACTCACTATAACCTCAGTACAACCCCATCTTCTCCCTGCAATTTATGTTCAAATTCTCTCTTCTTCTACACTGAATCTGTCTAAATATCAGTGACTGCAGATGCTTGTGACTCCATAGAAACTCTCACTATTGCAGACATTTAAAATGCCACAGATTTGAAACAAAACAAAAAAAATCAACAAAAAAACCCTCAGAGATGTAGAACAGTTGAAAAGACATCAGGAAGAGAGAAGTGAGAAGTAGGTGGAAATGAGAATGCAGAGATAGAAGGCTTTATTAGAGAAAAAAAACCCCATTAAACCCTTAAGTGACGTGACAAAAGAAACAATGTATTGAAAGGCTCATGAGACATTGGAAGCTGTGCTCTTTGGTAACGTATCATCATGTCTTCTACCAAGTGCATTTATCTAGGCACTTGTTTCTCAGTGCCCAGTCAATTATCTGAATTTGTCACACTCAACCTAATTTGCTCAGAAAACATTCATGTTACATATGCACACTAACACTCCCCCAACCTGTTTTCCATGCCTATGTTTTTTAAAAGGATTAGCGTTCTACTAGAAGGGTTCCCTGGAAGGACTTGTGCCTCTATGGCAATGCTGATCCTCAGTCCATCTCTGAAGGTTTTGCTGTAATGGTCCTGTGCATCCAATAGAGCTATATATTTATAGTCCTGTGACTCACTGTACTAAACCACCCTTCATCATGATAACTGAAAGGGTGCTGTTAAAGGAGCTCTGTATCATTAATGCATTTTACAACTGGAGAGATGGGGAGATGGGGGTTGCAGTAAAATTTATTGTCTGTTGCCATGGCATCAGGAACAGGCTCAACAGAAAGCTCTTTCCAAGCACTCATAATCTGATCCTGGAACTGGCTTTGATCTCCCAGTGAAGACCTGAAAGCTCACTGCTCCAGGCATCTACTGCCTCTTGTGCCTGCTTTACCTGTGGTCCCGCCTGGATACTGTTCCCTCAAGATGTAAGAAGGAAGAAATGTGGTCTAGGCATGCAAGAAAAAATTCAGTTCCCAATGTGACAATACTCTGGAGTCTCAAGACTCCTCCCCACAGATACACAGGATTTCTTTCTTCCTCGCTGCTTCACAACTATCCAGACAACAGCCAGCTCAGAGCCTGGCATAAAAGGGGAGAGTAAGGTTTGATTTGTCCCCAACACGGTGACCTGTTTCTTATCGCGGAAGCTCTTCAGTGATAAGAAGAAGGACCTACAGAAATTTAAGCTGCAGTCTAGGTTAGGGGCAGCATGCCTTAATACATCTTGAGCCCTTCTGAAAGGCAGCCAGTTAAAAATAGAACATGCATTGTTAAAAATAGAACATGTCTAAAAATACAACATACAGTGAACTTCAGATCCAAGGTAGGCAGAAGGATAAGATAGGTAACTATGTCCCGCAGCTGCCTAGGGAATTGACATTAGAGTTATGGGGTAGATCTATCCTATTACAATAAACTCAATGTGTGTATAAATCTTGTAAACCTTTATTTGCTGAACTAACACCTTAATTTGCTGAAATAAAGCCCTAATTTCATTCTTTAGTTGCCCACTGTGAGGTGTCACCATGCTCTAAATTAAGCTGTCAGCAGAAGCTGATCTGCACCATTTGTTAACTGCAAATTATGCAGGTCCAAAGTAAAAGCTACTGGTAACAAATTCATGAAGCATGCTGCACTCGTAAGTATCAGAACTGGAGAGAGGCTACTTGCATGTTATCAGTGCTTTGCAGGTATACAACTTAATTACATGGATTAGAAACCTAACAGAGCAAAATGCAACACAATGCACACTCTAGTCACCCTTCCAGAGTCGGGGAGGTCTGAATACATGATCCTGGAGGCATGATAGCCACTGTATATAAACAAACTAAATACTAGACTCAAACCATTCAGTATATAATGCTAAAATATTTTTTAATCTCTATTCACAACACAAATGATGAAATAGAACATAGCAGCAAATCCAATATGGCAAGATGTTAACAAAGTACTGAATGGGAAATTATCACAATACAGGGAGAATAAAAACACAAAACACTGTGTACTAAAGTTGGGATACTGGGAGAAGAGGCAAAGGCCCAAGAAATAACTGCGCACACACTGGTTTCTCAAAGGTCCAGCAGGTAACGGCAATTTTGGCAGCAGAAATTCGTAATAAAACTGCTGGGAGGGGCTGGGAGGACAACGTGACTGCAGAACAGCAGTGCAGTACCAATATTTTAGACAGAAAAAACAGCTCCGAAGCCACTGCACACCTCTTGTTTGACCTGAAAATCTTCAAAATAAATGTTTGTGGAAGCAGTTATAAAAGATAAAGAGCAAGATGGAACAAATTGCAACATACTTCAAAGTCTGACGTTTCCAAGCTAAGCCATCTTTTTTTTTTTTCACTGATAAAGGAATTGAATTTGTAAATACAGGAAACACGGCAGGTTTCACCAATCTAGGCTGCAGTAAAGGACTTGATGAACACTGAAGCAAATTGAAAGGCAGCCCTTTGTCACAAAAGCACATGTCTGCCAACCCGCAGAACTCATGCCTAGCCCAGGAAGTAGTAAGAATTTTTGGTTCTGCTTCCTGTGGACAAAAGAACAGGGAGGGACTTCAAACAAAGCTCAGCATTCAAGGTCCCCCACGAAACTTAGGAGGGGAGAAACTTAGGAACTGACTGCTGCTGAGGGCTTGAGGAAAACAAAGAGAAAATAAACAGGGAGCACAGTTGGCAAGGTAAGAAAAATCAGGGAAAAGAAACTTGGAGCTTTGCCTATATCCCAGAAGAGTTTCAGGGGTTTGGTTTAGCTTAATTCTTTGATCCACTATCAAAGTGAAAAGAAGTACTTCATTATGTACTTTTTCATGAAGAAAAAGCAAGAAGGGAAAAGGCTCAAGTCTAGCAACCAAATATGAACTATCCCTTGGAGATAGTATGACAAGGATGCTCATCTTTCACATCACCAAAAGAGAGTCTGGAGTTTCCCTTTTTGCTTCTTTCCTTTCAAAATCTGAGTGAATATGAAATGAAGTATCTATAACTTTCTCTTCTTTTTGTGGCAAGTCCATTTAGGCTGCTGTTCTTAAAACCCTATCTCTTCCCAGAAACTCCAGTTACAGAGTCAAGAGGGGAGAAAAAGCCTCTTTGCCTTTCTAAAATTTGGGGATAGCAACTCTCAGAAGCTCTCCATGGTGTGCCTTGCAGGGTCAGGAAGTAGTTCATTTTTCCTCACACATGAATACTTGGACACATTGAAGGATTTTTCCTATCCTTTTGAGTAATACCAACTGTAATGACTTATAAGGCAGTATTCCAAGGAGTTATATTACTACTTTTGCTCACACATCTGAGCTAAGGAAAACACCAGATATGGATATTCAAATCAATTCGTACCAAGACTAAATAGGCAGCAAAATTCTTTGCAACAAGATAGACTGCTTGCTAGGGTATCTTGGAAGACAATCTACTTAACCAACTCTGTAATTTATGGTCCTCAAGTTTAGCAAGAGAAGATGCACAGAAGGAAATCCGTGTATGAGCAACCTGTTCGTCTGTCCAGAGCCAAGCATCCAAGTAGTCTCTTTCTGAAATAAGCAGTTGTATGGAGCTAACTTCCCTGAATATCCAGCACAGGCTACAGCTGCTCAGTCCATGTCATGTTTTCAAAACAAGGTGGTATGTCAATGAAAAAAAAAGCAGTCATTTTTAGTTCCTTTCATAAATTATTTCAGCTACTTTTCAAAAGTCTCTACTTCTCTCATTTTACTGCAGGGCAGGGAGAAGGTTGCAGAAGAAAACAAGCAAACAATCAGTGTATTTAAGACGAGACAAACACTTTAAGCCATTTCTAATAATGTTAACTTTTTCTTAGGAAAACAAATATAGCTGCAAAGCCAAGATTGATTTCTCTAGTAGGGTTCATATCTATATTTACTCCCTGAGAGTCCACTGTATCATCACTACCCCCTGCTCTTCCACCAGAAGAGAAACAATAGCACGCATGTTTGAGAATAAAGCTAACTACAAGGAAACATACACAGCAAGTGCTTAGCTTCCATGATCTAAGCTCTTTTAGTGCTGACCCCACAGGCAAGAGTATTTGATTAGGACTTTGCGGCATGCTGAATGTGCTGGAACATTCAAACAGCCCTAAGTGGCCCAGTGAACTCTAGTACCCTGCTCCTCTCTTAATGGCAGTTTACTATCCATCAGTATATCCTAGAGGTTATGTGAAGTTCAAGGGTATTTTACTTTTAACTGCGTTCCCACGTCTTTTGCTTTTGTCAGCAGCATCCAGGCCAGGCCTCAGTAATGAACCACAGGTTGGTTGTCTCTACCTCCGGTGTGGAGCAAGGTAAAAAAGCATTTCCACTTCCTGACTGCTGTGCATAAAGCAGGAGAGACAGAGTGGGGAGAGGAAGAAAGAAAACCTTTGCAGCACGTATTTGCTGCCCACTTCCTACTCCGCTGCTATAAGGAGTAGCTACAAGGAAGTGAGCCCTCCTTGTCTCTAACACTGAGAGGTGTGGTTTGCAGCCTTTAATGGCTGCAAATTGGGAAACCTTCAGAGAAGAACTAGATTTTCTGTTAGTGCCACAGTGGAAACACAAGCTATAATGCTATTCCTCTTTCTGCTCCAAAAGAACCATGGGATCGTCACCTCAGTAAGGTCTCATAGGCATTTTTTCCACTAATCAACAGTGTTAAAAAGGCTTTGTGGTTTGCATGCAGCATATAAAGAAACCCCCAATGGTTTGGTGACAGAACTTCTTCATTAATTTCCTAGTGATTAACTCAATGAAAGCTCCAACAACAACAACAAAAAAAACCCCAAACATTATTTTATGTGGACTCTGTGCTTGTTTACATTTTGTGGCAGAGCTATGGATGTTAAAATTAGAGCTGAAAAGAAAAATGCCAAAGAAATGGGCTGGTGAGGACCAATTTGTAAGTAAAATGGGTAGCTTACACAGGCTAGCAATGATGGAATTATTCATATAAGGATTTGATTGGCATAACCTCCTTCAAGGGTCCAGAAGAAGCATTAAGCTCAACAGAATAGTATATAAATCAGCTCCAGCCAGCATGATATGGCACATTTTGAACATTACCTTGCAAATCCCGAGGGGGGACTATCCCTCTAAGGTGGAAGATGCCTGCAAAGATTTCACAGCTTAATTAATTTTGTGGTGTAGATTACCAGGACGTTTTGTTCTGTTTTGATGCAAAAAGGGACTAACTAAGCTTGCAGTACTAAGGATGCTTACCTATAAAACGTATTATTCTTCGAAGCAGTGGGTTCAGGTAACAGCACTCTCCAGTCAAAATAGTTTTCTCTTGGATAATAAGGGTTTCTCGGGTTGATTTTATGAAATACATGGATATCTCACCAATAAAAATCTGCAGGAAAGGGAAAGAAATGGAGGGTTAAAAATGACATGAACAAACATGAAAACATGGCTAACTGGTTCCAGCCCACAGGTACTACTACACAGCAGTGTGTGTTTGGAAGAGTGCATTCCACAGTGAGGCTACACTTACTTAATGGAGCTGAACTGACATATACTCAGCTCATGGCCAAGAAAAGGATCTGCCATTCTTGCACTCAGTGGCAAGACATATCAAGTATTAGGCCGCCTTATACTAACTCCTGGAACACAGGGAGCAAAGAGACTTGAATGAATACTGTGGATCACAAAACCTTCCATTTTTACTGCGATTAGCACAGAATTTGTCATGTCATAGAATCATAGAATCATAGAATAGTTAGGGTTGGAAAGGACCTTAAGATCATCTAGTTCCAACCCCCCTGCCATGAGCAGGGACACCACACACTAAACTGTGTTGCTCAAGGCTCCGTCCAACCTTGAACACCGCCAGGGCTGGAGCATTCAC